TGACTGCTCTATTGGTTTGTGGCCTGAACATTTCCCCCTCTACAGTGAGTCATTCAGTTTGCTTATATAAAACCATATGTAGGTTTTAACATTACCCTGAATTTTGGTTTGTTCAATTTACTTTTAAGTAACTTTCTGTCCATTGTACTAAAGTCTTTAAAGTATGGCTAGCCCTAGCCTGTTTGCCTCAGTGATTAGAACATTGGCCAGAGGACTGAAGGGTCCTGGGTTTGATTCTGGCTAAGGGCATGTACCTTGGTTGCAGGCTCAATCCCTGGCTCTGGTCAGGGCATGTGAGAATCGCTGTTTCTCTCTCTTTTTTTTAAATATATCTGTATTGATATCAGAGAGAGGAAAGGAGAGGGAGAGAGAGAGAGAAACATCAATGATGAGAGAATCATTGATCAGCTGCCTCCTGCACTCCCCTGACTGGGGATCGAACCCGCAACCCAGGCATGTGCCCTGGCCGGGAATCGAACCTGGATCACCTGGATCCTAGGTCGATGCTCAACCGCTAAGCCAAGTCTGGCCGGGCTCTCTCTCTCTTTCTCTCCCCGCCCCCCTTTCCACTCTCTCTGAAAAGCAATGGAAAAAATATCCTCAGGTGAGGATTAAAAAGAAAATACGGCTATATGAAAGGTTGGCAGGCTATTGGAAGAATCTCAGCATTGTTCTCCAGAAATTATTTTATTAGTACATCTAGATTGAGGTTAATCAATCTGTGCTATCCAATCTCACATAATTTCAAAAATTAAAAGAGCATTTCATTAATTTCTATGGGAGAATAAACTGGCTAAGCAAGCTAGATTTTTATGACTATTACTCAGTGGAATTACTGGATTAAAGAACCCACATGTTCCACTTGCCTGGGCACTGACTTTGGGTGTCCCAATTTCACTAAACCTTACTAGACTGATGGTGGACACTGTATTTTTCTAAATGTTAATTGTTCATATCCTTCAATCATGTATTGAGTCTATATCTCTTAAAGCTTTGAGCAAGACCCAAACGTGGTTATGTTTTTTCCTTCTTGAAAATTTTTCTCTAGTTTGCTGTTTTACTTTTTGGTTACTTGTATTTGTCAGAAGCTGAACATGTTCATACATGAATCTATTATTCTTTACCTTTGTCATTGCAACATTCTTCTGAATTAAGAAATTTCATTGTTCCATAGATGTGAAAATCAATTTTTTTCCATTTTAAAAATTCACTCTGTAATCAGAATTTAGTAAAAAATGTGACACTACCTTAACTGTTTCACAAATTGCTGTTAAATCATTTTAACACTATTAAAACTTCTCTCTTACCTTCCTGTTTTAAATCTTTTTTAATTTTTTTAATATATCTTTATTGATTTCAGACAGAGAGAGAGAGAGAAACATCAATGAAGAGAGAGTCATTGATCGGCTGCCTAGCCCGCAATCCGGGCATGTGCCCTGACCGGGAGTCGAACCCGGATTGGCTGGATCCTAGGTCGATGCTCAACCCGAGCCACTCCCCGCCGGGCTTACCTTTCTGTTTTAAAAAGCCTATCTTTTTACATACACATTTTGAGATGTAGTTAGGACTATTTCTGAACTTTTGAAATAGTTTTTTAATCTTTTATTGGATTTTGTAGCTGTACTAAATTTTACTGTGTTTCATAATATGCTCTAGTCTTTAGTAGGGTGAATTTCCCTTGTGTCTTTTCTTTTTAAACATTTTTATACATTCTCTCTATTAACTTTAAGAATTAGTTTGGACTTAAAAAAAAGGGCCGCTGTGACCTATTCACCCTCCACTTCCCGTCAGAATCTAAACTCAGAATCTAAACCGTGGTCACCTTCGAGTAGAGTGGCCTGCCCGCCTGCCCGCCCACCAGGGGGCAGCACCACCCACAGATGACAGGCACTGTCCACCACCCAACCAAAACCACAATGTGAATTTGCAATGAGAGGAGAAAAGAACCAGTACTTTTTTTTTTCTTAAAAGTACTTTAAAAAGGAAAATTTATTTGTGTGTTTAATTTACATTTTATATTTTTGTACATATTGTTAGGGGTCAGCCATTGTTAATGATCTCGGGATGACCAAACCAGCCTTTGGAGTCTTCTCTGTCCTACTGCTGACTGTACTTGTGGTGTGACCATGTTCATTATAATCTTAAAGGAGAAAAAAAACCTTGTAGAAAAGGCAAAAACAACAACAAAAAATCTTATTTCGAGCGTTCAAGCATTCCAGTAACTTTTGTGTATGTACTTAGTTGTACTATAATTAGTTGGTTTGTATGAAATGGTTAAAAGGCCAAAGATAAAAAGGTTTCTTTTTTGCCTTTTTTTGTCTGAAGTTGCTGGTTTTTTTTTGGCCTGTTTGATGTATATGTGAAACAATGCCCAACAATAAACTGGAATTTAAAAAGAAAAAAAAGAAAAAGGAATTAGTTTGGGAGACTGACGTGAACAATATTTAATTTTTCTGTTCTTTTTGTTGAGTTTCTTGCTTCAGAGTGTCATTTGCAGGATGATAAGAACAAATGTTCAGTAATCTGTTTTTTTGTTTTGTTTTTTAATTCATTTCTGCCCTTAAATTTATTGTTCCTTATGTCTGGAGTGTATCTTTACTGTTCTTGTCTTCCTCCTCCTAGACTTTCTGATAGCCTACTTCAAGATTTCAGTGGTGTTTGTTAGTCTTCCTTTCTTTCCCCAGCAGAGATAGTCACTTATTCTGTATTACCTCTGAACTTCTGATGTATTTCCATTATGCACTCATTGCTATTGTGGGGAAAGGGAAAAATTCCCGTTCCTCCTCTGAGTCTTTTGGCTGATTGAATAATCAGATTGACATGAGACAGACTGACAAGAGAAATTAAATATCCTTTGCATGGGAACCCCACATACAGGGTTCAGAGACAGAAAGGGAAAATGAAGTATATGTGACATTTTGAGCTAAGGATGAGGTAATATACCTTGGAGTTTCTTGCTTCAGAGTGTCATTTGCAGGATAAGAACAAATGTTCAGTAATTAGTAGTTTGCCCTGTGATATAGATAGGTCAAAAGAGGTAATAATTTTCTGAGGATCTCCTATCATGGGCAGGGACCCTAATTCAGATTCTTCTGTGTGATTAAGGGGGCTGGGGCAGAAGTTTCTCTTAAGCCCACAGGGTATTGGTTGCCTTTAGTGCAAAATAATCCATGTACCACAGAAGCACATCTTGGGGTGACTCTCACTGAACCCTTACACTACATATTGAGCTATCTCCTCCTTCTAGTAACTGAGATTCACTGACTGTTACTCACTTTTTTCTTTGTTTTGTTACTCCTCACCCGAGGATATTTTTTTCTATTGCTTTTCAGAGAGAGTGTGTGGGGGGGGGCCGGAGAGAAACATCAATGTGAGAGAGATAATGATAGGTTGCCTCATGCATGGGCCCCAGAGGGCCTGCAACCCAGGTACGTGCCCTTGACTGGAAATCAAACCTGGGACCCTTCTGTCTGAGGGCTGATGCTCTAACCACTGAGCCATACCAGCCAAGGCTTACTCACTTTTTTTTCTTTGCTTAACACTCATCCCAAAACTAGGTATGCAGATATTAAATGAATATTGGTATAAATAAAGGAGACATTTTACTTTTAAAACTATTTCTCTGTCTATGCTGTTAATTCTCTACAACCCAAAGCTCTTTCCTGATAAGTGGACTTATATATCACCTGTGTTTATGGTATGTCTATTTGTATGCACCCACACACCTCAAACTTGGCATGTCCAAAACTAGGTCGTCAACCTTTCCTCCTCCATCTTCAAACCAAAAATGTGAAACAAACTGCCTATTTCTGTCTTTTTTCTAGGAGAAGATTAAATGAGATACTACATGTGTGGTAAGAATTCAGTAAATAGTACACACAGCTAATAATAACTTGGCAGAAACGTGGGCTATTCTCTGTCTTCTCCTTTTCCCTTTATATTCTGATTGGTCACTGAGCCCTGTTGGATTTTTTCTTAATATCTCTTGAATCTCTGCCTTTTCTTCATCCCCAAGGCTACCTACTCCATGGTTAGCATCATCTCTCACCTGGATTGCTGCAGTAGCCTCTTAAGTGATTACCCTCTTCTGGTCTTGCTGTCCAGTCCATTTTCCCCACTGTAGCCAGAGTAATTTAACACATTTGAGCATTGTAACTCCCCTGCTTAAAACCTTTTTGTGTGTGATTTTTTTCATTGCCTTCAGGAAAAGTCTGACCTTCACTTGGCTTCAGGACTTCCATGGTCTGCCTTATTCACCTCTGCACCCTTTTTCACTCTCACCCTCTGCCCTCAGTGCACTCGTCATACTCAGTTACTTGCATTTTGCCTTTAAGATGCAAAGTTGGTTAGATTTGGCCTGAGTACTGAAGCCTCCCTCTGTCTGGAATGCCTTCCCTAGTTCCCTGCGTTCCTCCCTTTGGTTTTGTTAGCTAATACTTGTCTTTCAGGTCTCAATCAGGTGATACTTCTATGGGGAGGCCCTCTTTGATAACCACGATTTCAAGTTGTTTCCCTACAACTTTTTTTCCTGTTACTATAATGTAATTGTTTGCTTATTTGTCATTTTACCATGTACTTAGTGTGAAATGAAAGAAAGCGGTAAATTGAGTATCTTAAAAAATGATGCGATTTGCACAGACTATGTTAAAGGGAATTAAATAGTAATTTGGGAAATAGTAATTTTCCTAGTAGGGAAAGGAAAGAGACATATCTGATAGATGGAAGTTTTCTAAGTTAGGAAAGGTATACTGGGTAGTCCCTTTTACAGCTTCAGTGAAATACATCTTTTGACAAAATTTTCATCTATATAGTTTTTCTGTTTATTAGTTAGGACTTGTTGGATAGCAAGTAACAGAGATACAGTTTGAAATAATCTATGGAGAAAAAAGTTAGTGGTTCATTAGCCATCTAGGGTGGGGTAAAAGGTTTACAGTTGTGAGTACACAAAACAGTTTATTCTTGTGTTATTAATTGTATTATTTTCCACATGAACAACTGTAAACCTATTTTTGCCCCACCCTGTATAACAGAAATTGTATGGGTAGAGATGGCCATAAAGTGTTAAGGTGGGAACTTTGCCCATAATTAATCTTTCCTGTACTTACAGTCTCTGCCTACTGGTGTAATTTCTCCTACTGCCTATATGCTTATTTACAAGGTGGGACCATGTTACTGGCAGCACAGGCTAATCTACTTAGAGCCACATGCCAGTGGCTCTAGATAGATTTGGTCACATGCTCATCCCTTGACCAATTCCAGCAGCTGAGGGCATGGGGCACTATGCTTAGTTCAACCTAAGTCATGCGAGGTGCCCACTTTTATGGCCAGGGTTCTGTTAGCAGAAAATAGACACTTAGTGGGGTAGGGGAGGAGAATAAGGAGTTCTGGGCAGACAAAAAGAATATCTGTTATAATTCTCAACCAGCCTTCTGGTTATAAATTTATTTTCCTAGATACTTTATTTGTGGGAAAGAGATGCCCTGTACTATGGACCTGAGTATTCCAGGTACTGAAATGGTAAGTCCAGTATTTTAAAAAACTAAATTGGCTTTTTGGTTTGTGCTGGCATATAACAAATACTTGATGAACTGTTAGCTAAACAAGACATATCTGTGGGATGCTTATGCTTATAAGCTAGTGTAAACAAATAAATGCCAAGGAGCTAAGATAGAGGTATATCTAGGGTGCTGTGGGAGCTGTGTCTAACTCAGACTTTGGGATAATGGGAAACTTTCCTGAAGGGAATTTAATTGAGCAAAGAAATATGGGTTGGGTGGGATCGGGTAGAAGGACTTAGGGCAGAACATGTGCGAGGCACAGAGATGTGAAATAGTAGTAATATCTGTGGCATGGTACTTTGGCAACAGCTACATCTCTTATCTACTTTCACCTAATGACTAACTTTCTTTCTCTCCCTATAACTTTAGATTTCATTGATAACTGTTGATTTTTGATCAGCTTTTTAGTTATGGGTTATAAAATGGTACTTAGTTTTGGATTCCATTGTTCCTTTTACATTCTTTTTTCATAGTCACCTTCTATAGAGAGATTTCCCTCATTAACTAGGGCTATTTTATTACCTTGAAATAATATTTTACTTAAAAGGCAGAATAAATGCTTAGTTTTTCCCCCCTTATATAATCATTTCCAGACTGTAATAGTCACTTCCAGTGATGGCAAATGTAGTTGGTCTTTTTTCTTTTTCTTTACTTTTGTATCTTTCTCTTTGACTATAATATATATTTATAAATATTATATACTTTTGGACCTTGATTTCATTTAAGATTACAGTTTGATATAAACTTGCCTTTATTGCATATATTATAATTTATATATATATATTTTTTTATAGTAAGAAGACATTTTGAATAATAAGAGCTGTAGAGTTGGCAGATATTAACTGTGGCCTTAATGAGCATATTGATAGCATCCAGACTGACAGTAAGTATTATTATTATTTTTTTTTAAAGTGTTTTTTTTTTT